GGTGTCGAGCTCCATTTGGGGCTCATGACCAGATATTAATTATTGTTTGACAGTTACGGTCTTGTTTCTGTGGGGCGCCTTCTCTGAGGAGAGGACGGGTCTGTCTTTTATATATGCTGCTGGCTCTTGCCAGCGCAGTCTTTCTCGGGTCCGAGTCCCTTGGGACTCGCGACCATATTTTACTATCTCAGAATTGAAAGTGTTTGCCGATTGCCTAGCAATAGTTGCTGCACGGACTCGCCTGTTGCATTACGTCACAGCATATACTCGTGTGTATATATATATAGGAGCTAAATATTAATTGAATAAATAGAAAAATATAACCTCACGACAAAAACGGTTAACCTTATTGCATAGAAGTAAGAATGGCAAACTCATAAAATCTGAGTTCATTACAAACAGAAGGGATGAAACACAGAGTGACAAATGAAGTCTGAAGAGGCGTGAACCTAGTAGAGAGAAAGCAAAGACAGTAGAGGAAAGAACTGGGTGAGACCAAGTCTTTGCACTACAGAAATAAATGGATCTACTTGCTGCCGGGAGATGAAACACTAGCAAGCGCGATAGGAAGGCTAACGCCTGACCGCTGATGTTACAGTTCCATCACCTTAGCTCAGAGGTAACGAATATGGGAGGTATTCGGTTTGATTGAGGGCAGGCCATTATTATATCAACTTGAGAGTCTCCGGTGGTTCGTCAGTTCATGCTGCGAATACAGGCATGGTAGTTTAAAAAATAGACCACTACCACTTCCCCTCACATCTATAAAATTGACTATTCATATCATGTATCTGTAAATTCTTCTCCGAAATTAGACCTACACGAAATTTGCACGTGATACTGTCGTAAAATAATCCCGAACATTGCACTTCGGCCTTCTAGTAATCTCTGAACCCCAGAAAGGAGAGCAATACAGTCAAGTGGCGCAAAAATGATCTTGGACTTACATGACTTTTGTTCGCTCCCTTTCGTTTCAAACACGGAATAAATTTCCTCCTCCACATATCAGTAGGCTGGTTACAGCAAGAAAGGTGAGGAGGAGGGGGGGGGGAGCAAGTGGATCGGCATTCAAGGGACAGATGAGAAATGCATACAAAATTTGACTGCGAAAGCTGAAGTTTTTTACTCAGAATTGCTGGGTTTTTGGCCTTTGTCCATCGTCTGGAGTTCTAGAAACTAGAAAATATAACGTTTCAGAAACTGGATCTGTTTCCGCCCTCAGGTGAGAGAAGTGGTCCCTTAGAAAGAGCTAACCTTAACCACTACGTGTCTCTCCCCTTCATCTGATGACGGAAACAGATCCAGTTTCTGAAATGTTATGTTTCTNGTGTCTCCTAGAAAGCGCTAACCTTAATCACTACGTGTCTCCTAGAAAGAGCTAACCTTAATCACTACGTGTCTCCCCCTTTCATCTGATAACGGAAACAGATCCAGTTTCTGAAATGTTATGTTTCTTAGTTTCTAGAATACCGAACGATGGACAGAGTCCAAAAACCCAGTAATTCTGCTTATTGTGCACCATCGTTGGGGGAACACGGTATCGTAGTTGGTCAACGCACTATGCTACAAGCCGGAAGGTCGCGGGTTCGATTCCCAATAAGGTCACTGGCTTTTTAAATTCCAGCCGCACTATAACCCTGGGGTTGATTCAGCCTATAACGTGAATGAGTACCAGGAATCTTCCTGGGGTGTAAAGAGCTGCCGGCGAGTAAGGCTTACAACCTCACCACCATGTGTGAGCCGACTGTCTTGAAAATGTGGGAACTTCGACGCCTCAAAACCCTATGGGCCTTAATGGTCTGTTACAGGGATAGCTTTGCCTTTATACTCGTACACCATCGTCAGAATCCTTTAGAATCTACTTGAAGTATTTTAGCTCGGAAGAAGAAGAAGAGTAAATGAGAACATAAGCACTGAGATGGATCTTGAGGAAACGTGGTGTAAGGTGTGAACTGTAGTCATCTAGATCAGGATACGAATCATTGGTGGGGCTATTTGAACATGGTACCGACCCTTCGTGCACCATAAGACGCGAGGAACTTCTCGAATGGTCTCCGTAAAAGGACTTTGCTCCATATTGTTAGTAACAGTTAAGATTATGATCTTTGGTAAATAAGTACCTCTCTCATTAACTACAAGTCAACACGTTCAAGAATGCTGTGATCTCGGTAGTCACCGTGCAAACCTCAGTCTCATACTGAGCGTGTCACTGGTAAGGACGAACAGCGTGGAGGACGGGCACTGAGTGTGCAGAAAGTGGCCCCCGCTTGAGTGCCCGGTCCACGTGACGACATCGTCAGACTAGTGGTTGCCTACAGTAACATAGGAGGGAGAAGAGAGAGTAGCTGAAACTTTTAACTTCTCCCGGTAGTACGACAATCTGCTGTACCAAACCCGGTAGGCAACAACCAGCAGTCCTGAAAGTGCATTACATTGGAGCGGTCACTCGTCTTGTGCAGTGAAGGAACCACCACCAGAATATCCACACCAAACACGGTCAATGCCCCATCGGCCTTGTCTTATGTGTTAACATTAAATCTTATAAACATTTCATAATAATTTGTGTTAGAATGTAAATAACATACATTATTCGTAATTTTAAATCTTGCAGTAATTGGGGCAAAGCTTATATCTATGCCTGTTGTTTAGCCTATATTTTTTCTGTAAAAATCTAGAAGCAAAGTTGTTCTTTTAATATTTTGAAAGCGATGGATCTCGTGTGATGTAGGAAGTTCTGGCAGCAGTCGCATTTAATGAAGTGGTGATAATGATTTAATCACTTAAAATTTACTTTTCAAGCTTTCATTCAGTCAGATTAAGGCTTATTGAACATATCATAATTAGTGCGCTTTGTATGTGTTAAAATACTTTATGTCACTCTAAGGGCATATAGAAATAAGTGAAAAAGTAGCTAAATAAACATGTGGTGGTAATTTGAGTAAAGCTTTAAATTGTCAGGAATGCTGAAGTACATGAACACTTTGTGGCTTAACAACTGCAGATACAAGTTGTGGAACAAATCTAAATATTACAAGTAATATCTTAAATTCGAAAGGACACCAAACTCTAGCGAGAAGGTTCCACGCCTTTTAGTGATAGTGATAGTGTGAATTATTGATATAATTTTCCCACAAACATGGCCGACGAAAAGAAAACAACCGAAGTTCAAGCTCAGAACACTGGAACAGGAGAGACATCGTGGAAGAAGATGACTAATCGTGAGAAATGGGAATATTTAATGGGGAACATAACCGTGGAGCCTATGTTAGCCTGTTACATCATGCCATGTGTTTTAGCTATGTTAGCCACTCAGAATCTGAACTTGGAGAAAGCGTGCCGTGTGAATCTCAGATATGACGAGAAAGTTTGTGCAGCCCTTACTGCTCGCGAAACAGCCAACTACACTGAACAAGAAACTCAAGTCCAGCAACTTGTGGCAGGGATGACCATATGGAAGACAGTGGTCCAGAGCTCTTTACCGTGCCTGCTAATGTTATTCTTAGGGTCCTGGTCTGACAGGCACGGCCGTCGGAAACCATGCATGCTTCTTCCCATAACCGGAGAATTTCTAACGTGCATTGGTCTTATCCTCTGCACCTACTTTTTCTTCGAACTGCCAATGGAGGTTGCCGGAGTTGTTGAGGCTCTATTTCCGGCCATCACGGGTGGATGGTTCACAATGTTCATGGCTATTTTTAGCTACATCGCTGATGTGACAACGGTTGAAATGAGAACCCTTCGAATTGGTATAGTGAATCTGTTCGTCTCGCTTGGGGTTCCTGTAGGAATGGCTCTCAGCGGGGTTCTGTACTCGCAGATCGGGTTCTACGGGATCTTCTCTATATCTGCAACAATGTACGTCATGAGTTTCTGCTACGGAGTCTTCAGAATCAAAGAGGCGCCCCGTCAGAAGACAGAGCAAGAGAAGAAGAGGAAAGAAGCATTCAAACAACAGAGGTGCGGATTCATCAGGGACTTTTTTGACATTCGCCACATCTCCGAGACTTTCAGGGTCGGTTTCAAGGAAGGGAAGAACAACAGGAGGATGAGGGTCATAATGCTCATGATTGCTTGTATGGTCATCATTGGACCCATGCACGGTAAGTCTTTACAACTGTAGTTACTAATTTATTTCTGTATGGGTGTGAAACTTGGTCTCTGACATTAAGGGAGGAACATAGACTGAGGGTATTTGAGAACAGGGCGTTGAGGAGAATAATTGGACCGAAGAGGGATGAAGTGACAGGAGTTTGGAGAAAACTGCATAATGAGGAGCTTCATAACTTGTACTCTTCTCCAAATATAATTAGAATGATCATGTCATGGAGGATGAGATTGGCAAGGCATGTAGCACGAATGGGAGAGAAAATGAATGCATATAGGATATTGGTGGGAAAGCCAGAAGGAAGGACACCACTGGAAGACCAAGGCGTAGGTGGGTGGACAATATTAAAATGGATCTTAGAGAGATAGGATGGGATGAATTGGATTGATCTGGCTCAGGATAGGGACCAGTGGAGGGCTCTGGAGGGCTACGCCTTGGTCTTCCCTGTGGTCTCTTTCCTTCTGGCTTTCCCACCAATATCCTATACGCATTAATCGTCTCTCCCATTCGTGCTACATGACCTGCCCACCTCATCCTCCTTGACTTGATCATTCTAATTATACTTGGAGAAGAGTCCAAGTTATGAAGCTCCTCATTATGCGAAGTAAGTAATTTACTGATTTAAATTTGAATTTGACTGTAAGTTAGCAACTTATCACAAACAATAACAGAATACGCGCTGCGGTCAAGCGGCAGGTGCTACTGCTTCGTATTCTAGATCTGTTTTCAAATCTAGAAACGAAGACTCGTGGTTTTCCTCAGTCCCTCTAAGTAATTGCAGGTAGAGTACCTCAGATTTGGACACAGCGACTTCCTTCACATACTCATCAATTCATTATTCTCAATCGGTAACTCCAATAAAGTCATGTGATTATGCAACAGTTACTGAATATGCAACCTCTAGGGAAATTCCAGTCCGTATGAATAGCTGTGATACACACACATGAATGGCCGGAACGTAAATCATTAGCTGGCAATCATTGACAGGCACTTGTGGGTCCGTTTATTTGTGAATATGAAAAATTCGGTCTAATTCGTATTACAGAATTTGTCTTATGTCTGTCAAATAAATCCTGCTAGAAATCTTGAGTTTTATAAAGAAAAATTTAAACCTCTTCAAATATGATTTCGGATCGACGTTTCCGGCCATTAGAAACTGAATGAATTTCGATTTTTTCCTGATGTATTTTGAACAGTGTCGAATGGTGGAACGACTCTCAATGATGATACGTGACCTTCCATTTATGGCGCTGCTGGGAAAAATTGCTGGCTTACTGAGGCACAACGGCGTTATATAACGAGATTTCTTTATGGAAGACATGATGGCAGTGTCCAGCACTAAGTTCGAAATCAAGACTTCTGAATATATAGTAAGATTGTCGAGTGGGATATCTGGTAGTTTTAAATTTAGTGGCTCACGATATGCATTTAATTTCAATTGAATTCATATTTCATCAGGAAGATCCGTATATTTACTGAAGTTTCGAGTGAGCACTCACATCCCAATAGAAAGAAGTGACCAATAATAGTCGGATCCCTGCTCCCGGCGGGCCCAGCAGGAATTTCCTGGACTGGACTCGACTGAAGATGTCAAATCTTACAAATTGTTTATGTCGTGACTGATTTTCAGCTACTGCCAAGCTTTTTAACGCCCACACTACCAAATGAGCAAAGCTTACATAAATTTGTATACGAATATTTTGAAGTTCTCCGTTTATTTCAACTTCCCCCCCCCTTGGCACTACAGCCCCAGTGGGTCTAGGCCTACGTCCATGAACTTCTCCGTTCACTTCGGTTTTTCTACATCTTACACATTCGGTAGGACTCCTTGGGCGGGTGATCAGTTTGTCGCAAAGTCTCTACATGTACACAAACACAGAAAAACGCACACACACAAACTAAACATCCATGCCCTGAGTGGGATTCGAACCCACGATCTCGGTTCCTAAGCGAGCGAAGACAGTACATGCCTTAGACCGCTCTACTACCGTGACCGGCTTTATTTCAACTACCCATCATCAATTTCTACATTTTATTTATTTGCTGTTTATGTTTACGCGGTCAGTTATGCAGACTGGGTAGCACTGAATGGAAAACGACTGATGAACGGATACATTTAAATGACGTGGAGGGAAGCGCTCATGGCCTATTTTAAGGTACTATCCGGGAATTTGCCTGGGAAGATTAATAAAACTTCAGTAGGGATAGTCAACATCTAAGCCCATTTACTCAATTCAATTTCTATACAATTAATTTCGTCTTAATATAAAAAATTAAAATGCTAAGATGAAACGTCCTTAAAAGCAAATATTTCAAATTTGGTGCACTAAATGCGTACTCAGCCGTTAAAATTTCGAGGTCTGTTCTTGTCTTTATTACAGCACTTTCTCCCAGCCTTCATACTTAAAATAAATGTACAAAAATACATTTCCACTGCACTGAATTTCACATTCTCTTCAGCAAGGTCAGCCTAGAGGCCTGTGTCGATTTCTCACGCCATTTCATTTTTGGCCCTTACAAATTTCTCCTTTCGTATTTTGTGCGTTCTGTTTTCCTTAATTAGCCACTTTGAGTATGCAACTCATATCTAACTTTAATACACGGTCTTCTTACGAATGAATGAACGATTGAATAAATATCGGTAAATAAATGAGTACATACATATACATGCATTTTTGCTGGTAGTTCATTCTTCTTTTAATCATTAGTAAACTGGAAAATTTAGTTTCTGAAGCACTAGCAACAAAAGTTGCAAAACAATACAACACCTAGCTCCACCGTCCTTCCATCGGTCTGCGTGCAACAACAAGAGAACAACTAAACTGATTTGCATTAAATTTGGAACTGCGGTTTTTATTAAATTTCGATGATACTCTGCAGTTGAGGTTAATCTCTCATAACAAACTTGGACACTCTGCATGGAGAAACGCATATGTTTCTGAGCTCATCTCCAACGTTATTTACTTGTAACTCGCAGAATATGTAAAAGTAAGTAAAGGTATCCCAGTAACATGCCGTGGAGGCCCATAGCATTGAGATGTTGAGGCTCTCACATTTTCTAGACAATCGGCAGGCAGATGGCGGTGAGGTTGTCAGCCCTACGCACCGGCCGCCCTTTACCCCCAAGAAGATTCCTGGTACTCATTTCTGTTAGAGGCTGAGTCGACCCCAGGGCCATAGTGCAGCTCCACAGAAAAAAAAAGAAAAGAAAGAAAGAAAGAATGAAAGCTCTAAACACACAAAAAAAATCACAAATGTTTTATGCATTAGACTTTTTCTTTAAGTTTTGCAGTTTCTTAATTAACTAAACAAACTGAAGACCGCGAATTAGTTTTAGGCTTTGTGTATATTTGTTACTATCCTTTATGTTTAGTACTTCCGTCTCACGGTCATGTGTCAGTATTGACACTAATTTCCTTTCATAAACTGTTATCTGCGTGCATTTTCTGTTTCTTTACTGGTGTTTTATTGATCTCCGCATATTCTGAAACTTATTCATCTAATTTTGATATAATCACAATCCACAGTAGTGAAACATCATGCTTCTGAAGCTAACATAACACAATGAGGACGTATGTGAAGTCGAAGAAAAGATCCACATATTCTTAATATTGCACTAGATGGAGGTCTGTGATCATTATCACGCTCGAGGGCTTTACATTCGAGCAAAGAGCACCCGGTAACCATTTGCCCCAGAACCGGTCTGGAAAGTAACGAAGTGAGAACTTCCTGACCCTGCTGCAATGGATTAAAAGAACTTAATGACAAATGCGTATAGGTGGAAGTGAATATCGAGTGTCGGGATGAAAGGTGTCCAAAATAAAAAAAGTATATCTCGGAAAGTAACTATCATACACGTATCCGGTTTATGTCATCGGAAAGAAAAACCCTGTCAGTTTTTTTTTCCATGCCCGGCTTACGCGCATGCGCCGCCACATTTCTGCCACCATGTTAGGAATCACTTGGACAGAGTGATGGCTGGGAGAGAGGTCGGCAGAAATGGATCAATCGCTTGGCCTCCTAAGTCGCCAGATTTTAACCCCACTGAATTTTGTCTTGTGGGTTATGTGAAGAACATTGCATACCAGGTTAAGATCAACGACCTGCAACACCTGAAAACCCGCCTAAGGGACGCTGTGGATATGGTAACACCAAACGTGTTGGATCATCTGGATATTTGTCGTGCTATCAAGGGAGCCCACCTTTCATCCGGACACTCTGTATTGTACAAAAGTGTTCAGAAGACATTTGACTAGAATTCTGGCCAGGATCTGTTATGCGTAATATTAACTTTCATTGTTTATGGCAGTCTCTTCGGGTCACTGAACCATAAAGACTTAGTGATAAATTCTTTCTACACTTTTCAAGACTTGTCATTCAGATTATTTGTACTCTTTTAGTTCGATGTCAAATTTAATGGCCTACGACGACGTTAAACAATCATGCAGAGTGCTTCAGTTAGTTTATCAGAGATACTCTGTATTGTACAAAAGTGTTCAGAAGACATTTGACTAGAATTCTGGCCAGGATCTGTTATGCGTAATATTAACTTTCATTGTTTATGGCAGTCTCTTCGGGTCACTGAACCATAAAGACTTAGTGATAAATTCTTTCTACACTTTTCAAGACTTGTCATTCAGATTATTTGTACTCTTTTAGTTCGATGTCAAATTTAATGGCCTACGACGACGTTAAACAATCATGCAGAGTGCTTCAGTTAGTTTATCAGAGATATGGTATTCGTATTTAGAAACAAGCATCACTTGAAAACTCGGCTTCAAACACTCTTCGTGTAATGACGGGCAGAATTAGAATTACTGATTTTCCGAACTTGGTCCATCGCCTAGTGTTCAGAACTGAACACGAAGCTTCGGAAACTGCAACTGCTTCCGTCTTCAGATGAAAATGTGAGAAAGCACATATTCAGGCGATCTTTTAGAAAGAACTAACCTCAATCACACCGTAACCTTTCCTAATAGAATTGGGTCTTAGAGA